TTTTGAAAATAATTGAATTCTTTTGAGGAATTTCATTAAAATTTCATTGAAAATAATTTAATTGGTTTTGAGGAATTTCTTTGAATTTTTATAAAATAATTGAGTTATTTTAATAATTTTAACTGAAAATGTTGTAAGTAATTGAATTTTATGTAGAATTTCTTTCAAGTTTGAAAAATAATTGTGTTTTTATTAATAATTGTACCTAACTAAAAATGTTATTACTGAATTTTATTAAAATTTTTAGAGAATGATTAAGTTATTTTCAATTTTTTTTTCTTATAATTGAATTCATTCCAGGAATTTTATTAAAGTATTGAAAATAATTGAGTTTTTTCGAGGAGCTTTTTTAATTTTTTGTATATATTCAATTTATGCATATTAATATGTTAATAATTGTAATTGAAAAAATATAAATTATAAATAAATAATAAATTATCAAATATAAAATATTAATTCGTTAGTAAATATTATTTCATACTTTTTAATGAATGATTAAAAATACTATATACCTAGTAAATAAACTATAAGTAAATAAAAAATTGTATATTTTTATATTATTGCATGTCTTCGCTGGACAATAAAAGAGAGAAAAATAAAAAAAAAAATTATAAATTTATAAATAAAAATAATATAATTAATAAAAGACACTGAAACTTTTGCGAAATTATATGAAATTGACAATTGAATAGTGATAATATTGAACTGAGCTTCAAACGATTTTAATATTCTGACAATTAAAATAAGTTCATATCAACGGGAGAATAATTTATTATAATATTTTTAATAAAAAATATTCCATAAATTTGAAAGTTCAAAACTTGTCAATTTTTAATTGTATTATTATTATTATTTATTATATTATTTTATTCACAAGTTTAGACCACCACTTTTATAATATGAAAATTTGATAATTTATTCTAAAGTTCAGAGTGCCTCTTTTTTACAATAAAAGTTTTCTCCATGAAGGGAATATTGAATTAAATTTTTTCCAATTGAATCTAAAAACAAACAATTTGATAAATATTTGAAACCCCCAGTAAATTTCTTTTTACTTTAGTATTTTGAATTATTTTTATATCAACATTCTGAACATTCAATAAGTTTGAAACATTTTTTTTTGTATTTTTTTTTTGTTTTGTTTTTTATTTTCGATATTTTTAGTTTAAAGAAAAAATTTTTTCAAACAATCTAATAAAATGAATGTATTTCAAATTTAATAAAATAAACCTTTTACATCTTTTTCCAATAGTTCCTGTTTGAAACAATAACATTTTTCCCGCTCTAAAATGGTATTTAATAGCTTTCCTTCCGCGCAATTAATATATTTATTCATAAACTCTCTTATAAATGAAAATTTAATCATTAATATCGTAACACTCTATTTCTTATAAATGAAAATTTAATCATTAATATCGTAACACTCTATTTCTTTTATTTTTTCTCTCTCTCTGAGTCAATAAACTGCCATCGGTTTTGGCTTTATATTCATATTTGTTCAAATATTCCATGAATCTTGATCCCCAATGTGGATGGAAAGACAAATAGTTGGGGATCGAAAATTTGTTTACCACTGGGAATAAACCAATAATACACAAGTAAAATACAGCTTTAATTTTCCGAGTTAAATATATTTAATTGAAAAATAGAAGAGAAACAATTTTGTTTAACATATAATAGAAAATTATATTCTTTTATCTATTGAATGTAAGAGGTAATTTCACGTCTACATAAAGAACAAATGTGCCCTCAGGGTATAATTAATTTATCACTTTAGAGTCAATCCTGAACAACAATCAATTTCCGAAGTTAATACATTAGATAGCACAATGGAAATCAAAATGCATTGAATTACAATCATGTAATAATTAATTTGCAATTATAATTTACAAATTAATTCTGTACTAAAGGGACTTACTTTTTTTATTAATTTTATAATTATTTTATACCTACTTTAAATTTAATCATAAATTGAATTTTATAATTAATTTATTTATTAAATAACAAATAAATTATTAATTAAAATATTTATATGTAGTAACTTTTAATACTTTCGCTAAAGATTTATTTGATGTTTACAATCTTTATCAACTAATAATAATTTTTCAATAATTTTCCGATTCATCAAAAAAATGTTATTTTTCCCTAAAATTAAGATTCATTTCAACGACAAAACAATTAAGAATTTTCAGTGAATAGACATCAAATGGGCGCTTCATTTGGCACAATTCCAAACTATCAACAATAAATTTCACGCACTTCTGAACATATATATATATATATATATATATATATTAAAAGTAAAACATTTACCCAAAGTGTATAAAACTATATGTTCACTTTGGACATTAAATTTCAATTGTTTTGTTTTCAAATTATTAATTATTCAAAATTTTCATTTCTACTTTATATAATTATATACAAATGCTTATTGAAATGAAATTGTTATTCCATCAGCTATGGGACATAATTATTTCACATGAATAACATTCTAAAGCTTTAATAATGATTGTAGCACAGAACTATCAAATATGTAATTTCATGCATAATAGTAGCAAATATTTCTTGTTCCAATATTTGTATCACATCAAACACTTTTGTAATTAGCAGCTAATTAACAACATACTAAATGTAATTAAGATTAACTAAATGAGTTTATATGGAATTTAGCATTTTTTTTATTAAATTGCATAATATATACACGTTTATATCGTGTAAATAAAATATAAAATAAAATAATTCATTCAATTTAATAAAATAATAAATTAAAATATAAAATAAAATAAAAAATTTTATATTTTAATTATATAAATTTTTTTAATTTGCAACATACGTAAATATTATAGTGAATAGAAAGTTTTGAGAATATCGTTGCTTGAAAATGGTATATTGCTTCCGAAACCATGACCTACATTTCTGAAACCACTGTCGTTGCTTCACAAGGTTTAACCACTGTTGAAAAGGGAAACTTTGATATATTAAATATATTATATGAATATATATATATATATATATATATATATATATATATATATATATATATAAATTATTAAAGTCTTCATACTGCATAATATTGGAATCTTAGCAGAAGAGATCACAAAAATATTTTTCTAGAATTATATAAGCATAATTTTATGAAATATTTTAATAATAAATATTAAGAGGAATGTCTCTCAAAATTAAAAATTTTTTCCTTATTCTCGAGAAACATAAAAAAAATATGTCACATTTTTATAAAGGAGTAAAAATTGCTTCGGAAGCAATACTGAATTTTCAAGAAACAATATTCTTGTACTATAAATAAATATACCTAAACTGTAAATAATTATAAAATTAAAAATTATAGATAACTTATAGATAACGAAAGGATTCAATAATGATTTTTAAAAATTTGTTAGAAAATTTTTTTGAAAGAATTAAATTATTTTCTAAAATTTCAATAAAATTCTTCGAAACAATTAAATTATTTTTATAAATCGAAAAATTATTCAAGACAATCAAATTATTTTTATAACTCGTAAAATTATTCACAAAAATAAAAAAATTCTTCTTAGGAATTTAATTGTCTTCAATAAAATTTTAATAAAATTTCTCTAAAGATTTCAAATATTTTCAAAAGTTATCATAAAATTCTGGAAAAAGATTAATTAATTTCTGAAAATTTTCATAAAATTCAATAATCTAATTTTTGGTTCCACTTATTAACATACACGATTATTTTAAAAAATTGAAAGAAATTGTTCGTAACATTTTAATATTTCCATAGTTTTCAATTAAAACTATTAAAAAAAAACTATTACTATTTTCAAAAAACTTAAAGAAATTTTCCAAAGGAATTTAATTATTTACGAAAACTAGTAAAATGGTTCAAAAGAATTTAAATTTCTATCAATAATTTTAAGAAAATCTATATTAATAATTTAATAATAAAATTATTAATTATAATTATTAACACAGTCGATTATATACAAAAAATTAAAGAAGCTCTTCGAAAGAATATCATTATTTTCAATATTTCAATAATAATCCTTGAATGAATTCAATTATTTTCAAAAATTTTGATAAAATTCTTCGAAGAAATTCAATTGTTTTTAAATTCTTTCATAAAATTCTTCGCAAGAATTTAATGATTTGCAATGAATTAATTTTTAAATTCAAATATTTAAACTGAAAAATTATTTTAAAAGTTATAGAGAACAAATTATAACATTTTAAAAAGTTCTAATTTGCGATCTACAAGTTTTTAACGTTCAAATGAAAGAAATATTTTCGATTAAAAATATTGTTATAAATTACTGATTGGAAAAATTTAAAGCTGAAATTTTACATTCAGAAACTTTATAATTAATTTTTTTTATACTGACACAAAATTATTGTAATAAAATTTGAAGCAGAAATAATTAAATTTCCTTTATTTCTAAGTTCAGAACTTTTGGATAATTTTAATTTTTCCATAAAATAAAATTTCACATTCAAAGCATTCAAATATTTATTTAAAATTAAAAATTTTTAAATATTTCTAAGTCAATTCATATTTGTAAGCCCTTAAAGAGTTTACATAAATAAATAATTATTACAAAAATAAAGATTAAATATTTGTCACATTTAAAAAGTACTTTTCAAACAGATAAAAATATAAGAAGATTTAAAAAACAGCTTTTTCAAAAATAATACAGTACAAGAATAAATAATATTCTTTCACAGATAAATTGCTTCTCTGAAAGAATATGAAAATAAAATATCCTTCCGTATAAAAGTTAAATAATACGTTTGAACTTTTTTCATATAGCAAAAATGCGCTCGAGCAAATATGGCGTTCACAAAAAAAAAAGAAAAAAAACGCCTTTAATGAAAGTTTGCTTTAAAAAAAAAATACCTTTACACATAGAAGAATACAAAAAAAAACTTTTTTCCGCATTATTTTTTAATAAAAAAAATTCCACAATAATAATTTCAAAAAAAAAAAATCACTCATCCATTTTTTTCCTTTATTGTTTCAGAATTTAAAAAAATGATCTATGAATCGCCAAGCTGATGAAGCGATTTTATGGCCTCACGGCCCTGGTGGCCTCGCTGATTATTCTTGCAAACGGTTTTACTCAACAACCTATAACTTATTCGACTTCCTCGCCAAATTCCCCAGCCACTGTTGGAAATTCACTCGAGCGAAAAAGCATCGGCGAAAGAAGAGCAGAAACTTCCATCGTCGTCGAAAACCGAAAATCTCCTTCAATCCTCCATAAAGATGAACAGAAAATGATAAATCGAAAATCCTCTAAAACAACTTTCATCACTCGAGAAACTAAATTCACCACTCCACTAACAACACAAGTTCCAACAACTCAATTATTATTAATTAATGTTTATTCAGTTACAAATGCTCAAAGTGCAAATTTAACCACAAAACAAAATTCAAGTGAAATTTTCCCCAAATTATCAAAAACTAAATTAACCATCACACTCGATGAGCATCAAAGTCAAAAAGAGATTAATGAATCAAATAGTCGCGAAATTTCTAATTTTATTATCACATCGAAGGCAAATTACACTAATGTTCATTTAACCAATTCGAAAACAAACTTTCTCCAACTACTTCCGCAAAGCAATAAAATTACCAAGAAATTCTCCAACAATTTTAATCAAACCCCATTACTTGAAATTATTGCCAAAAAAGATAATTCCGAAAAACAAAATAACTCCAAACAAATAAAAATTGATCAAATTAAAAATGTAAATATTTTCAATTCATCAAATTATCGGACATTTCAAGAATCAAATACCAATAGTTTCTTAACCGATGATTATAGTATCAATTCACAAAGAGCTCAATTCACAGCCAAATTAAATCAATCTCTATTTACCATTAAGAACTTTTCCCAATCAAAGTTTCCAACTCGGAAAGTTTCATCAAATAGTCACCAGACAACAGTGAATTCTGTATTAAATAAGCAAATTAAAAGTGATAAAACTTTTTCCCAGATAGTAAATCGAAATAGTGAAATTCAAGTCAATAAAGATTCAACGACTCGAGAAGTTTCAAATTTATTCCACGAGGCAAGTGAATTTCAATCCGAAATTGGTTCACCGACACGTAAAGTGAATTTATTCCAAAAAGTTAAAGACAATTTCAAATCTGAAATAAGAGCTCTAGAATCAAAAAATCCATTATTAAAATCATTACCACTCGAGAAAAATTCGACAGACAGTCAAAAAACATTTCACAATAGTAACAACAACAACAACAACAACAACAACAACAATAATAATAATAATAACATCAATAATAATAACAACAACAATAATAATAATAACAAAAATACGAGTAAATTAAAAAAAAATTCACCCGAAACATTAAGAAAACATAAAAGAAAAAGTTCCAAATTCCAACGAAAAATGCGAATAACTTTATTTAAATTAACAAAAAGACGAGTAAAAAATTTCATTCCCGAACAAAAGAAAAATAGAAACAATAAAAGTAAGATGGAAATTCTAAACGAATCATTAACTGTACAACTTGAACCAACGATAATGAATAAAATAAAGGACAATACAAACGACAACGAAGAAGAGAAAGACGACACTTCGAATGATATTTCAAGAATAATGAATAAAGGACCAAAGGGTAAATTAAATTATTCCCATGGAAAGACGAAGAGAGGTCAAGTAGTCAAGAGTCCTTTAACGTCAACCAATAACGTAACTTTTCATTCATTAGAAAATCAAATTCCCCCCAAAAATTCAAAAAACTTATTCACTCAAACTTCTCTACTAAACAATAAATCGCAAAATTTTCCCACCGATTTTCATAAAATACCCAACTTTTCCCCTTTATCTTCAAATTCCAGTGACTATTCCAAAAGTGAAAAATCACAAGAGATAAATTCTAATTCAAATTTTATTGCCAGTGAGATAAGAAATCCCCTCGATAAAACAACAATTCTCTCAAATATTCACGATTCTATAAAACCATCAACCATTCCATCATTAAAAATTACCACCACCCCCTTTTTTGATATTCCCCAAAAATTATCAAATCAAAAAAATGAAGAGAAAAATTCCACCTTGAAAGGAGATAATAATAATGAAAGTTTGAATTTGAGTAAAAGTTTCGATAAAATTGCCGCATTAAATTCGAGTCTTATCTTGTTGAAAATGAATCCAAATGAGAATTATTTTAATCTGAGTTTAATTAGAGAGGTAGATGAGGATGAAAATGGAGAAAATTTTACGAAAATTGCCACGCCCGTGAATTTGTGGCCAGTGAAGCATAGTGCAGTGGTGGAGGGTGATCTTGTTCTGGGCGGTTTGATGATGGTCCATGAAAGAGAGGATACAATTACATGTGGACCAGTAATGCCACAAGGTGGAGTTCAAGCTCTAGAAGCTATGCTCTACACACTCGATCGACTTAACCAAGAAGAAATTGTGCCTGGCGTAAAAATTGGTGCACACATTCTCGATGATTGTGACAAGGACACGTATGGACTCGAGATGGCTGTGGATTTCATTAAAGGTGAGCTAGAGAGAAAAAAAAAAAGTTTTTTTCAATTTTCCTCTTTTTTTTAGCACATCTTATTTGATAATTTACTTCAATTTCTTTTATTATTGTTGAGAGAGAAAAAATTCAATGGCGGAGAATTTTTTTTCAATTTAGTGGAAATTTATCCACCCAATATTACCAAACTATAAAAAGAATGTTCTTCTATAAAATAATAATAAAAATAAATAAATAAATAAATTATAAATATATTTATACTAGCAGCAATTTTAAAAATAACAGAATTGGAAAATTTTTACTGATAGATTTTCAATAGAATTCAAAAACTTACTGCCTTTTTTAAATAAAATTAGCAATTTTAAAAATAATGGAATTAAAAAATTATCTAATTTAAATTTTTGTTAAAAACACTAAAAATATTCAATTTTGGAGAAATTTCAAATAATTGCAGAAATTCAATTACTTTCAAAAAAAAATAAATAAAATTCAACTATGTTCAAAATTTGAAAAAAATTGAAATTCTCGTAAAAATCCCAATTATCTTTATAAATAACAATATTCTTCTCCAAAGTTCAATTATTTTCATAAATGTCATAAAAATTCTTGTCCTAACTTCAATTATTTTCAAAAATTTTCTAATTTCAATTATTTTCAATATCTACTATTTTAATAAAATTTTCCAAAAAGAATTCAATTATTTGAAATTTTTTTAATAAAATTCCATGCAAACATTTAATTATTTTCATAAATAATAAAAATTTCACAGGAATTCAATTATTTTTATAAATAATAAAATTTTTAAAAGGAATTCAATTATTATTTTCATAAAAAATAATTTAAAATTCTAGAAAATAATAATTCAATTGAAATAATAAAAATAATTTTGATGAAGTTACAGTAACAATATTCTTATAATAAAAAATAATGATTTTATTACTTGGTCATCTTTAATTATTATAAAACATGAAGAAATCGATCACTCCGAGTCTTCGACTCGGAGAAAAAAAATTTAATTTTAAAAAAGTTTAATTTAAAAAAGGTTTGAATTTGAAATTTTTGAATGTCTTTATTCCTGTGGAAAATCATGTTCCAGAAATAAGATTAAAAATAGGAGTTGTGCAAATATTTTTCTTCTTTTTCTAAAACAAAATAATAATTTTGTTAAAAAAATTGTGATTCATAAACAAAAATAATGCAAAATAAATAAATTTTCTATTTCTTAATCACAGTTGTTTAACAATTTTCTAATCTTGTTTAGAAGTAAAGAACAATAAAATCTGCATAATTTCAATTTGACAAAACATAATATTTAACAAAATTTTAGTCTTTTAATGAAAGAAGTGAAAAAAATTCTGATGATTTCTATTTGTCATTACATTTTTGAATTAATTATAAAATAAAAATAATTATAACATAATAATATAATATACAATCTATCTAAAGATAGTTAATTTTATTTATTTATAAATTTATTTATTAATTTACTCTACACGCAGAGAAGAATTTTATTTGATAACTGAAAAAAGAAATTTATTTGATTGAAAGATACGATCAATTATCTAGTATCAAATAAATATTTAATTGTAACAAATAATTTTTATTTAAGTCAATTAAATGGTATTTGGATCAAATACCAAAATTAATGGTTCCAAACACAATTAAATTTGATTCAAAAGTACAATTATTTACTTTAAGTAAATAATTATTTGTCGATAGACAAGTAATCGGTTTCCTATAAATAAAAAATAAATAAATATTTTTAAGTGGAAATTAGAAAGTGAAATATGATTTTCAGTAGTATAAGACCGCTTTAGTCAAACATAGATAGAAAATCAAAAAGGTTTTGAGAGATTACGACGAAAAAATACTGAACATTCGTTTTGTATTTTTTTCGTCCCAAACGGACGTTTTTTGTGTCTGATTAAAAATTTGTTTACACTACTTAAAAGAGAAAAACTATTATAATTATTTCAGTAGTGTAAGAAACTTTTCTTTAAACAGAAGTAATAATAAGCATTTTAAAGATATAATTACTACAAACAAAGCGAAAAAAATTAATTTGATTTCAATAAACGAACAGTTATCTAATAGCAAATAAATAAAAAATTTGGTACAACTAAATGTTTCGATAAGACACTCTCTAAATTTTAATTAGTAAAAATGTTTACTAATTCTAATTAGTGACTGACTTTTTGCTTCTGAATTAGTAAATTTTACTAATAAATAAGTAGAAAAGACTATTTATTAGTAAAATTTACTAATTCAGAAGCAAAAAGTCAGTCACTAATTAGAATTAGTAAACATTTTTACTAATTCAAATTTAGACTACAATTTTTTTCAAACTACTCGAGGTAAAAAAATACTTTTAGTCTAACACGAATAAATTAAGATATTAATAATAAATAAATAAAATAAATAATAAATTAAGATAAATAATAATAAATAAAGATAAATAAATAAAGATAATAATAATAATAATAATAATAATAATAATAATAATAATAATAATAATAATAATAATAATAATAATAATAATAATAATAATAATAATAATAATAATAATAATAATAATAATAATAATAATAATAATAATATTAATAATAATAATAATCTTAATAAATTAAGACATTTTTAAAAATTTTAATTTTCTTTGTCTTTAAGTAGTAAAAAATCTATTTTGTCAGCCAAGTTTAAAAAATCCACATTCAAACAAGGTTTCTATAACAAGTCAGTAAAGTAAATAATCTACGGTCAGACCTATCATAGATAGGTGGAATATGTTTTAAAGAAATCGTCTTTAATTAGCAGTAGTGTAAAAAATTTTTAATCAGACAAAAAGATCTGTAAAGTCTAGAATCATAATTTTCATTGGATGTTCTACTAAAAATTTTATAATTCTACTTTTTTAATAGTAAAATTAAATAAAATGATTTATTTATTTTAAATTTTTTCGTCAGTTTTTTCTGTCTGACTAAAATTGGTTTATACTACTGATTTTTGAATAGACTTTTCTCTCATCTGAAGTGTCATACAAAAATTTTTGTTGAATCAGAAACAAATAATTATTAACGCTTCGAAAACTATTTGAGTTACTCTAAATATCAGTAGAACAGCGATAGTTTTGTCAGACACAAAGTGGAGTAAAATGCCTTTGGTCAGACGTGCATATCGATGGAAATTCTTTTAAAGAAAGCGTTTTCGATTTGCAGTAGTATAATAAATTTTCAGTCAGACCTAGAGGAAAATCTATGGATTTTAAATTAGTGTCAAGTATTTTTTGTCTGTCTGACTAAAACTTTCTCATACTACTCGTAATAAAAAACTTTAGTCGTTATTAATGTTATCTACCCTCTGGCGTTTGACCAAACTTTGTTTACACTATTTCGAGCTAATTGTCCGACTAAAATATTTGTTAAACTACTTGTGGTAAATAAAAATATATTAGTATAATACAAATTAAATTAGGTTTTTTTTCTAAGTAAAATTTGTTTAACTTTAAGTAGTAAAAACTCTATTTGGTCAGACGTTCTTAAAAAAAAAACACATTTAAATAAGGTTTCATTTAGATGTCAGTAAAGTAATTAGTCTTTGGTCAGCCATAGATAGAGTTAAAATATCTTGCAAAGAAAGCGTCTTTAATTAGCAGTAGTATAAAAAGACTTTACAGATCTTTATCTCTAATTAAAAAATTAGACAAAAAGATCTTTAATTTGAATTATGATATTCAGTGGATGTCTGACTAAAAATTTTTCATACTATTTTGTTAACAGTATAAATAAATAAAATAATTTATTTATCTTACATTTCTTTGGCAATTTTTTCTATTCTGACTAGAATTGGTTTATACTACTGATATTTAAATAGACTTTTCTCTCAAATGGAAGTGTCATCAGAAGGTTTTGGTTAAATCAGAAAAAAATAGTTATTAAAATTTCGAAAACTATTTTAGTAATTTCTATTCTAATTAAACTAATTTTTCTATCTGTTTTTTGTCTGACTAAAATTTGTTTACACTACTGATATCTGAATACTCTTATTCTTTTAACTGCAATGACATAGAAAAGCTTTTTACCAGTCTCAAAATATTTCATAATATTTTCAGTTTATCGAAAAATACTTAAATATTTCAGAAAATGTTTCATTTAGTCCAAATAGCAATAGAATACCAACACTTTAGTTGGGCGCGAAAAAAGTACAAGAAAAGTAAAGTAAAGAAAGAAAAAAAATAAAGTAAAATAAATAACGCATAAAATGAAATTTATTTGACTTGAAGTAGTAAAAGCGCATTTTGGTCAGAGTTGCAGAAATAAAAATTCACATTCAAACAAGTTTTTACGTAAAGGGAAGTAGAGTAAAGAGTCTTTGGTCAGACGTTCATAATGGTGGAAAATTTTTTAAGTAAATAAAGCGGCTTTGATTCGCAGTAGTATAAAAATCATTTAGTCAGACTGACAAAAAAATTTATAGATTTAAGAAAATACTTAAATTTTTTATGTCTTCTGTCTGACTTAAATTTTCTTACACTACTTCTAATAAAGATGCTTAATTTGTTTATATTTTCCATCTTTTCAGTGTCTGACCAAACTATGTTTATACTACTAATATTTAAAATAAATTCTTTTTTCAACTAATTAATAATTCAAATATTAAGATTATAATTAAATTATTAACCATATTAATGTATTAATTAATTAATATAAATATTTATTTATCTATTTATTTATCTATTTATTTATTTACTTACTTATTTAATTATTTATTTATTTATAGAGATAAATATTTCCATTCTCTTATGAAGCAATAAAACGAAATCAAGTTTTCTTGAATTCTCGGGAATGGAATTTTTAATACAATCGCATATAATTTTCTGCCCCGACATATTATATAGAATGCGAAATACATTCTTTTCTATGGGTAAGTTAAAAAAGATTACGAGAAAAAGCGAATGAGATTCTCTTCTTCAAGACTAAGTCTCTTAAAACGAGATTAAAACGTTACAAGAATCCTAAAAGATA